AAGAAAAAATGAAACATCTTTTATTTCAGGCGTGAAAGATGAATGGAATGTATAAGAAGCATATTATGAAGCAGTATATTACAGTGATTAATTTAAAATCTGATCAATGCTCCAAAATGGTTGTGTTAATAACAGAATTATTTTATTTGATAACTTGAAGTGATATTTATTTTTTTTTTTTAGGTTCTAGATGCAAAGTGTGGCTTTTGAGTGGAAAATCTAGAGTATGAGGCATCTGTAGGAGTTCTTGCTTGCACCTTTAGGTGTATGTATCAATGCAGTTCAAAGATTACCCATGGAAGGTCTTTACCTTAAAAAGTTATGACAGAATGCACTTAATGTAGCCTTAATTAGGTTTTCCAGGACACCAATTCCATTAGTTCTGGTGAGGCAGTATTTGATGTGGGTTGAATCTGAACTGTATCCTCTTGTATTCGGTGCTCCCAGGTTAAAGATCCCGTTACAGTTGTCTGCTGTTCCTTAAAGGTTCAGTTGCCTTGTGTTGGTTCTTTCAGGAAGGGCAGTGGAATTCAGGAGCATGTGTTCACTCACAGTAAATGCTGGCATGGGTTCTTAACTAAAGCTTTTCAGTGCTCTCGCAGTATTGAGAGCTTGTCATTATGTCATGGTACAATAACCCCTATCGTTTCTCTTCTCTCCTTTGCATTGCTAGTATTTATCTGTGGTTTATTTACAAGATCATCTGTATGGTTCATTAGCATTCAGCATGTATAAGGGGTTTATCAATCTTAAAGTTTATCCCATTTAAAATGAATGACAGCAGAAGCAGATGTCTGTGAGCAAAGGTGAAACTATTAAGCAAAATATACGTATTCTTGAACAAGCTATAGTATCTTCAAAAACTCATCTAAAAAGCAAGGCAATAATAAATATTGCTTAAATAAGTAAAATTGTCTGGAGATTTGGCCAAAAAGGTTTTTTTGTATTCTGCTATTCAAACTTGATGAAACACTTGAAAGTGTTGGTGAGAGAAGGGTACAATACTTTCTAAGCATGACCAAAAAGCAGTTAGATGTTTAGAAAACATATAGTCATGCAACAAATAGGCAAATTGCTAAACTTATTAGTGGGGAAAGACTACTTTCTGGAAATTCATGTTACTAGTGAGTTTAAGTGGAATAAAATTATTTTTCCCAATTTTTTTCTTTTTAAAAGAAAATAGAGCCACTTATAGGGCATTTCCTACGCCTTCCTTGACTCTTCCTGCCAGCACTGTAGGTCTCTTTTAGGAAAGGCAATGTTGAGGTTTTTGAAAATTTTAATGCTAGATTTCTAGCTGTGATATTGAATAAGAGCACTTATTTGTTTTTTTTTTTAAAAACAAAACAACCAAACCCAGTCATGAAGACGTGACTCATGCTGATTAAACTTTTTTTGTTTTCAAGAGGAATTATGATGTAATTTAGATTGGTTTTGATTGTTATGTGTTGCTGCAGAAGAAGTGCAATCCTAAATGACACTTGGGACTGTTGTGACTAAGTTTTTTGAGTGCATTTCTGAGTGGGTTAATCCTATGCAAGGAATAAAAAGGTGGTTTTAATTTTCTGTTGTTCCTTCACATTTTTCTAAAGGGATTTTTTGAAATAGATTTCTCTACAGAACTAGAAGATAAAAGTAGAAAGGTCTGTTTATTGCTTATGTACATTACTTCTGGTAAGGATTAAATGGCAATAATTTGAGTGGAAATCAAAGATATCAGGTATATCTTGGAAATTTTAAAAGCAATGTAAGAGGATTTGTATATTTTCTAGACTTCGTGTTCATTTTTGCAATTTTCTAAGCTAAATGAAGAGTTAACAATTACATTTTTATATTAGTAATTTTCATTACAGGGAGATAATAAAAAATTAGCTAATTGGTTTAATATCCCACTCAATAGTCAGTATTGGATTTTTATGGGCTTAGTAGAAGTAACAGTACAGTACAGGCTGGACCCTCTGCCATGAGAGACCTTCTCTGAATCTTCTCAGCAGTGACATGTGAGAACTTACAGAGAAAATGCTTGGACTTTTTAACATATTGCAAGTATTTTCAAAATGTGGCTAAATTCTTGTGGTTAGTTGTGTTAAAGAAACAGCCACACTTTTCTGACCGTTTCAGTTTTGTGCTTGTAAATTGGTTTCAATGAGTATACTTTTGGTTTTGTTATGGCAGAAGATAAATCAGAATGCTTAAATAGATCAGTGGGAGCATTTATACAGTATGGATGTTCTGTTCTCTGTAACATAGTTTTGTTTTCTACATACCACTTACAAAAAAATTCTGTGTCAGTGCTTTATTTTTTTTCATACGAATGATGCCATTTAATATTGGGTGATCACCCAACTAAATTTTATTTCCTTCATGAACTTTGTAAAATATTATAGGAGAGATTTTTTTCTAGAGCATCAGCTTAGGAAACATGATGGCAGAACACAAAAAAATTAAATAATGCAACCTAAAGAACTTAAAAGATCATAAATTGCACCAACTTTTAGGAACAGTAGGGTTATATTATTATTCTCTTAAGTATTCAGCTTTATTATTATGGAATTTCCATAAATAAGCCTTTATTTATGTTTTCTAAAAACTGTTTCTGAAAAAGTATTTGTGTCTTTCTTCATTGCCTTTTAATTTCTGTTCTGTTCCAAAGGGATTTTGTGGTTGAATCTGAAGTCTTTCAAGAGATAAGTTAGAAAATTTCCCTTAAAAGGTGCTTACCCTTGTGGTGTGTAATTTTTGTAAGTAAGTTTAGTTGGCATCAATTTCTGTTTAATATGATTGTGGCTGATAAGTGATCTTCAAAACTGTTTCACATAAAAAGTAATTTCAGAAGTGGGAAGAAAGGCCTGCAGGTACTAATATTGAAATATATGGCGAATTTGTTGTTCTAGTTTAGCTTGTGTGTAGTCTGAGTTTCCCCCCAGTCAACAGAGGTCAGGTCAATCAACTGAGAGGAAAGAGTTATGGGAATTCCAAGGTGCAGAAACTAAGTCACATTTCTACTTTGGTTTAGATACATTGCCATAAAAATAATAGCATCAAAAAACACCTGCAAAGAGCACAGGAGCAGGCAATTCCCAAGTATTGGAACTCAAGCAGACGAGGCAGAAGGCCAGCTTGGCTGAACAGGAATCTTCTCTTGGAGATAAGGCAGAAAAAGGAAGGTGTATGCCCAGTAGAAGCAAGATAAGTGACATGGGAAGAATACAGAGATGCTGCTTGGCACTGTAGGGAGAAAATTCATGCAGCCAAAGCTCAACTGGAGTTGAACCTGGACAGAAATGTGAGGGACAGTAAAAACAGTTTTTTCAAAAACATTAATGGCAATAGGCAGTAGAGAAATATCGTCATCCTGCTGAGGATGAGGATGGTTACCTCAAAAACATGGACAGAGACAAGGCAGAGGTGTTTAAGGCTTTCTTTCCCTCTGTCTTCAACATGGATCATGAACCAAAGGGGACTCAGTGCCCTCAGCTGGAGGACCATGACTGTGAGAATGATCAGCTCCCAGTAGACCCTGAAATTGTGCAGGATCTGCTGCTCCAGCTGGATCCCTACAAACCTGTGAAGCCTGATGGGATTCATCCAAGAATCCTCAAAAAGCTGGCTGATGTCACAGCAAAACCTCTCCCGATGATTTTTGAGCGGTCTTGGGAGTCTGGAGGGGAATCCCAGCTGACTGGAAGCTGGGGAATGTCGTCCCAGTTTTCAAGAGGGCAAGAAGGAGGACCCCAGAAACTACAGACTCATTTCAGTGCCTGGAAAAGTTATGGAGAAGGTTATTCTGGGGAGTATTGAAAAACACCTGATGACACAGTCATTGGTCACAGCCAGCACAGCTTCTTGAGAGGAAAGTCTTGCTTCTCAAACCTTATTTCCTTTCATGGCAAGGTAACCCACCTAGCTGATCAAGGGAAGCCAGCTGATGGAATCTTTTTGGATTTCAGTAAAGCTTTCAATATCATCTCTCATAGGATCCTTTTGGACAAAATGTCCAGCACACAGCAAAGCCCAGTGTTACTCAGTTGGTGCTGAATTTGTGCCTACATATGTTTTAGAGTACATTCAGAGTTCCTCGAAAGTGTTGTCAGTTTTAGTCTAGAAGACTGGAGAGAGTGGCTGTGTTTGCCTGGTATTACTAAAAAACTTCCAGTCTTAGTCTCTGTAAAGAAATAAAACCAGACCTGGTATATATTCATAGGCAGTAAGTATTCCTCAGAAGCAAGGAAATATTTATTGCTTATCAAAAGGTATAACTCCAGCCCACAGAGTATGTCACATCAGCAGTTGAAGTGGGATTGCTGTTAAGGTGGGTTTTCTTGTGCTATTCTGCATCTAATTAACATTAACATGTTATGATGGTAGAGAAGATATATCGAGACTGAGCATCAGTGTATATTAATAACCTAAATGCACAGCTAAATACAAAGCACAGTGAACCCAAAATCTATGGTACTGTCTTGAAAACTTCCATTTTCTAGGCTACTTAGATTAGTGCCAGTCAGGATAATGTATGTGCCACCACACTTTGATCTCTGGTATAAAACTATGATAGTGTCATTTTTTTAATTGCTACACAATAAATCAGCTGTCCTTTTAGACATGTTCTTACAAAATAAATGGTGCAATTACTGCCTATAATCCCATATCCTATACATCTTTGTATCCATCAATTTGAGCAAGGCCAAATAAAGCAGTCCAATAAGTGGCTTTCCTTTGAACACACAATAAAAAGAAATGGGAACAGTAGGAAGCTGCAGTTGGTTGTCCCAAATGACTGACCTTTTGTTCTGGAAGGACTGCTAGGAGGGAGTTCACAACCCCTGGAAAGGTTACTCTGACGTGGTCGCAATTCTGCACAAAACACAAAAATGTTTCCAGAAAGGCATTGGTATGTTTTCCTCCAGTACATAAGGGAGATTAGCAAAAGGAGCTTTAAATCAACAGTCAGTTTATCCCTGCTCTGAGGTAAAGGTGGTGTCTTCTTCGCTCCACAGCGTTTCCTTGATATGACGTTTGGAGCCGGAGGTCACACGACAGCTCTTCTGGAGAGAGCCAACGACATCACCGTGTATGCCCTGGACAGGGACCCCACAGCTTACAGGATAGCTCAGCAGCTCTCGGAATCCCACCCGTAAGTTCTCTTCTCCTCTCTTAAATATGGCTGGGATAAGGTTGATACTTTGGTATTTTATACGTAATTTAATGTATTTTTATAGTTTTTAATGGCTTGCTGTAGAATAGCATGATATGCTGCGTGGACCCTGTTAAGTAGGAGATATTTGCATGCAGATTTTTGGAGTTAAATGCGTATTCAGCACTCTTAATTCTGAGCATGCATCAAGTAGCCAATTTTACGTTTAAAAATGGATTTAAAAAAGATTCGTGGGTTCCATTTGCCTTGAGATGGTTCTGATGGCAGAATGGTACAAAAACATACCTTTGTGGTAAATATTTCACAAAAAACAATGGAACAATAGAATTTAAATAATGAGGTCATTTAAATATGGCTCATGAATATTTTAATTAAACCCCCCAAAAATAATTGTAATTCAGTATTAGGTTTGCTAAGTATTTTGCCACTGGCTTCAGAAACTACTGAACAATTTAATAAGGTACTATTTCTGTGTATAGCTTATGTTTCAATTTTCTTTTTAAATAGAGTGCTGAATTTGCTAAATGAACAATTGCTAAATGCAATTTTTTAGTTATGCAAAGTTCTTGTTCCTTTATTTTGTTCAAGAAAGAGCCCAGTCAGAGCATCATTGCATTCATGCAAAAGTGTGCATTGTAGAGTTGAATATGAGCTTTTCAGAAAGTGATATTTTTCAGATTTGACCAAGAAGTATGTAGATACAAAACTAAATCATATGAAATAATTAAGACTTAAGACATTTAGGTCAAGGAACAAGGAGAGGACGCCCACTGTCAGATTGAAAACATTAGAGTATTTATTTCAAAATAGCTTTTACATGAGGAAAACCAAATATTTCCAAGAAGAAGAATACTGGAAGAGGTGGCTGAAGAAACACTTGGTTGTTCAGTGAAATTTTCCCACATAAAAAGGAGTTCTAAGTCAGCAGTAATATTAAGCAATGCAGAAGGTATTCCTCATCTTTTCTAAGATAAAAGGCTAAACTGTGCATTCAAGTGTCTTTGACAGAGGTCCAGTGGGAGAAATGCAAACATGTGACAAGACAGCATGGCTCAGTTTCTAGTCATCCCACTCTGTAAAAACACTTCAATATATTTCTTTTAATTCTCAGTTCTTTGTGGGTTGAAGTGACATGCAGTATAAACTTACAAATTTGTGGAATTCCTCTCAACTGTTATTTCTTCAGAGAATGCTCTTTCTGAAAGAATAGTGTGGAGAATATTGTCAAGGAAAGTCCGTTTTCTTTTAGTCTAAGTCTGCAAACACGTTCTGCCAAATGTCATGGGAGTTGTAAAATCTTCTGTTCTTTGTGTCATAGAAAAAACCCAGTCTTTTAGAAACATTCACACAACGTAAGACAACAATGTGCAGTCTCTGACTCAATATGTGTTTATCTGTAAAGCATCCTATGAAAACCTGGATGCGAAAAAAGTTTATTTTTCAGATGTATTTTACAGGTGTTGGATGCTGTTCTGCCAATGATTGACATTGTTAATTTTCTCCTTGCTTAAATTTGTGAAAGGGTGAACTTTAATTTAATATAATATTATAGTTGATGTAACTTATTGTGGTTTATTAGACAAAGGAGGTCTCCTTATTTTTTTTTTGTAAAACTCTGGTTCTTGGACTCTAGACATGTTGTTGTCCTCCTGTAGAGATTCAAGTTATCCTTAGAATGAAGTGGATTCTTAAATAGCATAGTGTTGTTGATGAAGAGTCTTGATCACTGAAAGATGACTGCATGCCACCTGAATATGTATTGTAAGATACAGCAGTGCTCTTATTTGCTCTGGTGTGTTCCCTCATTTTCTATCTGTCTTATTAGAAAGAACAGGTAGATCCTTTTCCAGAAGGTAAATATATCTTTTTTCATAATAGTTTGTGTTGAAAATTAGGATAAAAGAATGTTCATGTATGGTATATGTGCTAATTATTAATCTGCTATCCCTGGGAAGTCAGTTGCAAGGGGAAAGGAGGAGGTATAAGTATATAATTTATAAATAACAGGTAAAGTTAGTGTTTGATTACAAATCAGTTGGGTATAAGGGATTGACCTATGAGATTTGGAGCTTTTATAAATGGATTTTTTTTTTCAATATTCATTAAAAGATGGTTGAGCTAATATGATGGGATTTTAGTGTCTATTTTCTGCACTGTGTTAGAAATAAACCTCGTATCGGTTCGGTTCAAGTCTGTGTGGGCATCAAAAGCTCAGGGAATTCATCCAGTTGACATCTGTGTCTGGTCAGGTCCATTCTCAGATTAAGTAGTTCCTTGGTTCACCAGGGAGCCACAGAAGCAGTTGTGCTAGCTTAAAAAAGGCAATGGTAGCATGCAGATGCAATCTAAGGGTGATGTAGGGCTGTCCCTTCTGTAAGAAGGGACAATAACTACAGTGCAGAAGTATAAACCTCCTTCATTGTTTTTCTGCTCTAGACTTTTTTTCACCTCTTTTGTTTAATACTGCTGTTTTGGCAGAGGTTTTTTGACTTGCTGAAGTGCTTCCCTTCCTTCAGAGGTGACAGCTCACGGTGGAGGAAGAGGCTGTTATGTAACTGTAACCAGCAAAATCTGATTCCCAGTGTCTGAAACTCTGAATGCAACAGGCACACTGAAAGTCATACCTCAATTGAATTTTCTGTTGCCTTTTTTTTTCTACTTAAAACAGAATATTGCATGTGTTAACTGAGGATGTTAATAAATTCCAGCACATCAATTACAGGACGGATCTTGAGTCTTGCACTAGTTTTTGCAGTAGTTTAGGCTGGACATTAGGAAGAAGTTCTTCACAGAGAGAGTGATTGGGCTTTGGAATGGGCTCCCCAGGGAACTGCTGGAGCCAGAGTCCCTGGAGGTGTTTAAGAAAATATTGGTCTTAATGCCATGGTCTAATTGACATGGTAGTGTTGGGTCATAGGGAAGTGTTGGGACTGACTGATCTCAGAGGACTCTTCCAACTGAGTTGCTTCTGTGATTCTGTGATATTGGCTAGGCAGATTTAACACCCATAAATCCATGGGTCCTGATTGGATGCACCCACTGGTGCTGAGGGAGCTGGCAGATGTTCTTGCTATGCCACTCTCCATTGTCTTTGAAAAATCATGGAGAACAGCAGAGGTGCCCGATGACTGGAGGAAGGCCAGTGTTACTCCCATCTTCAAAAAGGGCAAGAAGGAGCACCTGGGAAACTACCAACCAGTCAGCCTCACCTCCATCCCAGGAAAGGTGGTGGAACAGATCATTCTGAAGGTCATCACAAAGAAGGACGGTCTACAGGAGTCATTGGTCCAGCTGGACTAATCCATGCTGGAACAGTCAACATGGATTCACCAAGGGGAAATCATACTTGACCTGCCTTTTATGATGGCATGGTACGATGGGTTGGCAAAGGGAGAGCACTGGATGTTATCTACCTTGAGTTCAGCAAGGCTTTTGGCACTGTCTCCCATAACATCCTCAAAGATCAGCTCAGGAAATGTGGGTTAGGTGAATGGACAGTGAGGTGGATCAAGAACTGGTTGAATGGCAGAGCTCAGAGGGCCGTGATCAGTGGAGTAGAATCCAGCTGGAGGCCTGCAGTCAGTGGTGTTCCCCAGGGATCAATCCTGGGTCCAGCCTTGTCCAGCTTGTTCATCCAGGATCTGGATGAAGGGACAGAATGTACCCTGAGCAAGTTTGCTGATGATACAAAACTGGGGGGATTGGCTGATTCACCTGAAGGCTGTGCTCCCTTTTGGGGGGGACCTCGATAGGCTGGAGAGTTGGGCAGAGAAAAACCTTGATGAGGTTCAACCAAGGCAAGTGTAGGGTCGTGCACTTGGGGAGGAATAACCCCAAGTACCAGTAGAGGTTGGGGGCTGAGCCAGTTGAGAGCAGCTCTGCTGAGAAGGCCCTGGGATGTTGGTGGGTGACAAGCTGACTGTGAGCTGGCAGTGTGCCCTTGTGGCCGGGAGGGCCGATGGTATCCGGGGGTGCCTTGGGAAGAGTGTGGCCAGCAGGCTGAGGGAGAGGATCCTCCCCCTCTACTCATTCCTAGTGAGGCCACATCTGGAGTGTTGTGTCCAATTCTTGTGTCCACGGTTCAAGAAAGACAAGGAGCTACTGGAGAGGATCCAGTAGAAGCCACAAAGATGATGAGGAGTGTGAAGCATCTCTCTTACAAGGACAAAAAGCAGGATATCAGCCTGAGGGGATCTCATTAACACATGCAAGTATCTCAAAGGCAGTTGTCAAGAGGATGGTTCCAGACTCTTTTCAGTGGTGCCCAGAGACAGGACAAGGTGCAATGGCCATAAACTAAAACACAGAAAGTTCCACCTCAACCTCCGGGAAGAATTCCTTTCCATTGAGGGTGGCAGAGCACTGGGAGAGGCTGCCCAGGGAGGTCGTGGAGTCTCCCCTTCTGGAGACTTTCAAACCCCACCTGGACACATTCTTGGTTGACCTGTCCTAGGTGACCCTGCCTTGGCAGGGAGCTGGACTGAATGATCTCCAGAGGTCCCTTCCAACCGTAACGGTTCTATGATCTGTGAAATATGCCCATAGATATTGCTGCAAGAGGAGATAAGTGTGGCTAAATTGGGGGATTTTTCTATGTTCAGAATTTATAAATGAAGTCCTCCTTGTACTTAGGTGAAAGGTGGGTGGAGTAATAAGTCACAGAATGAAAACACGGGAAAAACACTTTTGATGTTTGTATTTTAAATGTGTCTCTTTGCTTTTTGATAACAATTTTGTCAGAACTAAAATCTGAAAAGGGTAGAGTTCCCACTGCAATTCTTGCATTCATTTAGTGTCTCTGTTTATTATTTTTATTCTTTAAAATATGTAGTGCTGCTTTAATAAGGAGAAAATGGGTCAGGGTCTGTTAGATATTCAGTGTGTGGGTGGGAATCCTTTGACGTACTTTCTGGGGAAGCCTCTAACTTGGGAATTGCTGATGAGAATTCAGGAGAACAAGATAAAATTCAGTCAGGGGC